AGAGAAAGAGAAAGAGAAAGAGAAAGAGAAAGAGAAAGAGAAAGAGACAGAGAAGAAAGAAAAGAGAAAGAGACAGAAGAAGAGGAAGAGAAGAGGAAGAGGCAAAGGAAAAGAGAAGAGAAAGAGAAAGTGAAAGAGAAAGATAAAGATAAAGAGAAAGAGGAAGAGGAAGAGAAAGAGGGAGAGAAAGACAAAGAGAAAGAGAAAGTGCAAGAGAAAGAGAAGAAGGAAGAGGAAGAGAAGGAAAAGGAAAAGAAGAAAGAAGAAGGGGAAGAGGAAGAGGATGATGGGGACACATAGTTTTCAAGGTAGTCCTACTTGGCTTCAGCCAGAAGGGGAAAAAAGAGAAAGAAAAAGAGGAAGAGCAAGAAGAAGAGGAAGAGAAAGAGAAAGAGAAGGAGAAAGGGAAGAGTGAAAGAAAGAGAAGAAGAGGAAGAGAAAGCCGATTGGTCAGCTAGCTGCACCTTGGCCCAAGCTGGGCCAACAAAGCCTGCAGCTCCCCTGCACCCCCGCCACCATCCCCCACCATACCGCCAGCGCCTCTATCCAATCCTTCACGGGGATGTCAAAAACGCTGGCGTTAGGTTTCTCGGCGTTGCAATATGCCGGGAGACATTTCGATATGCCAACACACGAGCAATTTAAACTCACCGACGATCCATTTGTCGATGGTGCAAGGGGTGCCAGGCTTTCCAGGATCAGAGTTGATGAAGTCCCCAGTCCACCAAAGCGGCAAAGGCTCACCCTTCAAATCAAGACTCTCCATGAGTGTCGGGATGGAAGTCTTCAAAAAGTCCTCGGACAGCTGCTTGAACTCTTCGCAATCAGGAGAATAGAATGTGTAGATTGAGCCGGTGCCGCCCACCGCACTGATACCACCAGCTTTGGGCTTCTTGTGAATGATGCCAGTGCAAGTGTCACCAATCATATTCATTCGCACTTCACCTTCCACAATCCTGGGGCAAAAGCGTTGGTCGACCAATTGGCCTCCTGCAGCCTTTCCTCCCTCCAAATATTTGCCAGTGCCAATGGTGTCCCATTTTCCCGATTTGGCCGTCCGACCATTGACGCAGAACTCAACAAACTCTGCCACCGTATGTGTCTCGGAATGGTTGTCGCAAGCCTCCATCATCTCCAAAACTTCATCATCCCCGCAAAGCCGGTCACCGAAATTCTTGCAATAGTTTCCTGATTTGAGTTTGATAATCCAAATCCCTTCGCCAGATGAACCTCTGTTTTGCTTGATGACACGCGGTTGAAATGCCATGGTCTTCTTGAAGCCAGCTGCAAACTCTTCGGGCGTGTAATAGGCCAAAGTGTCGGGCAACCCGATGGACAGGTTGGCAATCTTGCACAGGGCATCCTTGGCCCCCATGTTGGTCATCACATCCGGAGATGGCCAGACTTGCTTGCCCTTTTTTTGCAGTGCTCGCATTGCATCGTCGAACTTCATCTGATCCCCGCCCGCTGCATTGATTTGTCCTTGCAGATTTGAAAATGAACAGAATACTGTTGTGGTAAGAGGCCCCAAATAGTGTGTCTAAAGGTCTAAGCAGAAGGTCTAGAGATGTAGACTTATTGCGATGGTGGTGATGACGGTGGTGGTGATGGTGATGGTGGTGAGGGTGGTGGTGATGGTGGTGGTGATGGCAGTGGCGGCGGTGGCGACGATGGTGGTGGTGAGTGGTGGCGGTGATGCTGGTGATGGTGGCGGTGCTGGCGTAGTTAGGTTTTTTGGTGGGGGTGGTGATGGTTGTGATGGTTCATGATTCACAAATCATCAGGATCAGAATGAGGTGGACAGAGTTTAGAGATCTAGGGGGGAGGTCGAGAGAGCACAGATATTACAGCACACGTGTGAAAATCCACACACGAGCAACATACGGGCGTACATGAAGAGGAGCATGCGTGAGAGCACACGTATGAGAGTGCATTTGCTGCGCCTCCCACGAAACCTGCGCTCTGCGCCTGCCACGAAGTGTCAAGGTCCACCAACTGCTGCGCTGCGCCCCCTACGAAATCTACACGAAATCTGCACTTCAAGGTCCACAAAGCACCAGTTGCTGCGCCTCGAAATCTGCGTGATTTGTCCTACGCGCAGGTCACAAGGTCAACTCACAGCGCGCGGAAAAAAGAGCGACCGCCTTAGTTGAGGGTTAAGCCAACGTGACAAGACCACCGGCGTGATTTTTGACAATATTCACCAACAAAGGTCGTGCCTGTTCTAGGCAGTGCTTTCTTCAAGACTCAGACTGAACGTTATCAATGTGCCACGCGAGTATACCAACGCAGCAATACGTCGGCATAGCACATATCTGATGCGCAAGCGCGACAGCGCCGCAACAACCAAAACCAGCAAACCACCTGCAGAACCCGCTCTGAGTCTGCAAAGTCGCCGCAGCGGATGTCTAGGGTGAATTGTCGGCGGAGGGCAAAGTAGGATGTCGGGGCCGACTGGACGACAAAGACTGTGCGCACACTGAGAGAAATGCGTACGGACTTGCGCACGCCGGCCTGAGTGAAAACCTAAGGAAACTAGGGTATGTCACGCACGGCATTCAGACCTGGAATCCTTCGAAAGTGTCCCTTGCATCTGCTGCGCCCCCCCTGCAACCTAAAAATAAAGTCAAAGACACAATCCTATGTTGGATCTCTGTGATTCCAAGGGTTACACACACACGCCTCCCCAAGGGGAGGCGAGAAGAGCCAAGGCCGGGACGAATGTGCGTGCGCACAAAAACGACAAAAGAATGAAGACATGACAAGAGGACAGGACGGGACAAAGGTGTATGTGGTTGCGATGAAAAGGGAACCAAGTGCACAGGGACAAACGATGAAAACCCACCTCATTCTAAAAACCTGGGCGACCTGAAGCCTGGGTTGAAGGTAGGTTGTGTGTGAACACTAAGGGCGGGGCCAATGTGTGCGCAAAAGAAAGAAGGAATGAAATGCCAAGACACGAAGACAGGAGGGCATGAAACGAAAGAAGAAAACAAAGGTGTGTGAAGGGGAAAAGATGAAAAAAGGGAACCAAATGGAGGGGGCGAGAAGCGATGAAGCCAGACCCCATTAGAAAAACCTAGGCAAACAACGCCTCATTTAAGTGTATACGCTGTGTGTGCACCTAAGAGGGCGATAGGTTCCACTGAACCTTGAACAAGCCTTGGTCGCTGCGACCACGTGGTGGCGTGCCCGAAGGCTGCCTACTGCTGACCGCTGTGGTCACCTCATGGCTTGTCCGAAGACTGCCTACTTAGAATTCAAACAATTTGGCAAATCTTGGCAAATGACTTTGGCCTGAGCCTACTTTGTCTGCTGTGGACTACTCTGGTCCCGGGCGCAGGGATGAAGACAAACCCCCGTTCAACGGGTCCACAGGGGCCACTCTGCGGGGTCACGCTGGGCTCTCACGAGGAGAGACACACATATTGAAATGCGTGCTGACCCGAATGCCGCTTGCAACCTAAGAAACCAAAATTGACTGGACAAGAAGGGGCCTGAGTACCTGTAGCTAAAGGCCAGAAAACTCCACGATGCGACGAACTGACGACGTGCGTGCATGTCTGCGGAATGGAACTAGCACTTTACGACTCACCTCTGCAAATGTTAAACAACAAGCAGGCACACAGAGCTGATCAGGCTCTGCTAGGCGCAGTCCCTTGCATCTGCTGCGCCTGCAACCTAATGCATCCCTGTGATTCCAAGGGTTACGCACGCACACACACACACACACTTTCAATGACGCAATTCCATTCGGGCAGCATAGCCCATATTTTCAATAGTTTATTCGGGAAGGCGACGCAAGCAAGCGCACACGATGTCAATAATGCATTTTCTTTTCCGTAGCATAATTAACATCGCCAATGACTTGCTCATCTTCGTCCGTTTTTAAAGCACAGAATTCTAGAGCAAAAATGGCGACCCCAAGCTTAGAGCTTAAGTTATGCTATCTAGCAATTCCAGCGGTGGACGCGACCTGAGACAACGCCCCGTCAGTGGGAGGATTTTGTTCAACGCCCCGCCCCCCCCCCCAAACCTCTTTTCTTTGGCACGTTCCTTCCTCCGAATCCTTTGTCTGGAACCTTCCTCCAAATTGCTCCGGAACCTGCTCGGAGCTTGGTCCGATCTGCTCCGAAATCTATACTAAGGCTGAAGGGGTTGTGAAGCAACTTCACCAAAAAAGACGCACGAAACAGCAAAAAGCTACATTAGAAAAGCTCGCGATCGCATGCGATCGCTAAAAAGCACTGGCCATGAGCGGAGACAAAACACCTTCATGCTCTCTAAACCTGTCAGGGCTGCTGAGCATCCAATGAATTGAAGCGCGCGCTTAGCTTTGATAGTTTGCACCCACCGGATGTCAACGCCTACCATTGAATCACTGAAAAAATATACAACAATTTTGCATCGGATCAATGTGAGCTGATGATTTTGAAGAACATCTGAGAGCACAACATAACAACCATGAATGACTATGATGCACGTGATGCTTACTTTATGTAATTGCATATCTAACACTTCATATTTGTTTGGTGACCATGTACTTTCATGCATAAGATTGCATAAGGGTGTGCTATATGCAAACTTCGGTCTTGACAAATTGATATTAATTCCCCTTGAGAATGTCACGCCAGTTGTGTATGATTAAGCAATTCTTTAGAGCTTGTAGGTTCAAGAAATGCGGTGAGTGAGCGTGCAGGCCATGATGAAACGACTCCCTTTTGAAGCTCAGCATGGTGGGATAGATTCCCACGTGCCCCTGGAGGCCAACCATGCTAGTACTGATCGGAAGGTGTTTCCTAAAAGTGCATCATGGTGATGTATCTGTGGATCCAAAATGAGCCTTGAAACCCAATTCGCAGTGGGATTCCAAAATCACCTTTTGCGCATTTTCAGGGCGACGGAGCCAACCAATGCAAAAGTACTGGAAAGGCATGCTTCTTGTGGGTCTGCCTTCACCTGTCCTGGATTGCATCGCACGATCACGGCATCAAAGCCTTCCATCACTTTGAAGAATGCATCATGGTCCTCAGGGACATAGTGGATAAGCTGGCAGCTCATGCCAGATGCAATCATCCCGTTGGCAATGGGTATAGAGTCATATCCTGAGCTTTGCCAAAGCCTACAAAAACAACACCCATGCCCAGGTCTCACATCTGTTTATGCACCCTTTTAAACACAACATGGATAGATCATGCAAGGAATGCCGAAAATCTGTATTGCAGCATTGACATCTCATTATCTTTCAACACTTTCGGACCACCAAACATAATTTTGCCGTTGGAGGCCATCATTAGTAGGTTGGAGTCCATCCCTGTTAGGTTGGAGGCCATTGCTTGTCTCTGCACCTCGGTGCACCACAAGCTCTTAGAATTTGATATGGGTTATAAATTAAATGGTTGCAGCATTAGGCAGGACACTTGAGCAAATCCAGGTCTCTGTGACCGCTGTTGCTTTTGTCAGAGCCACCAAACGGCTGTGATGGCACATAGATCTGCACAAGTGCAGTTTTGAACTTTGGTTTGGTAGGCTGCGGCAACAAACCCACATCTTCCGTCTTGGCCACTTTGGTCAAGCGCGACACGTCAACCAAAGGAGATGCCTCACAAGCGCTTGGCTTGCTCCAAACATATCCGGCCACCGACCCGGTAGCTGCAATGGCCAATGCAGGTCGGGCTGCGTTGCGCAGCTTGCTGCCAGCTGCGCGAGCAAAGCGGCAGCTGAAGGCACGAAAAGCCATGAGCTGTTGGGCGGCTTGGACTACTTGAGGCGACAAAGGACTTTGGCGCCGGCATCAGTGTGGTCCCGCATGGGTTACACAGCAATGGTCAAGCAACTCCTCAATGGTCAAGCAACCCATTTCCGGACGCAAAGGAGAGATGAAACTGGAGACGCGAAAAAAAAAGAACCCTTTTCGAGACAGCACATCCTGTACACGTGCCGTGCATTGCGGTGCCAACTGGTTTCCAACTCGCACACTGATGCGAGTGTCGGCTCAGGCTTGCCCTGCTGACACGTGGACAGCGACCCCAGGACCAAGGACTCCAAGTGCAAGCACATCGGTGAAGACTGAGGCAAACCCAGTGCGTACCCTGCTTCGGCAAGACATTGCACATGGTACTTCCACATCGTCACTTTGTGTCCTGCACTTTGAACCCCTCTTAAAACACACTTGACTAAGCAATGGGCAAGACTTTGCTTGCAAGTCGCGGTCATCGTTCTTCCTTGCTCCAGCTTGCCCCAAGTTCTTGGTGGCTCCCTATCACTCAGAATTCGATTTTTACATGACCGAGCCTCAGTGGACTTCGCAGTTTTGCACGTTCACTATTGTGACTATGGCATGCTAAGTCTTGTGTCTGATGCTGACAAAAGGTGGTTGAACAAAGTATCTTCTATTTTATGTATATATCATATATGTATATTTTATGCATAGATGTTCTTCGAATCTATTTAGATGTTCTGTTCTGCAAGCCTCTTTCATCCTCTTCGATTCTTTAGGCCCCTGACAGCGCTCGGATCTGGTGCGTCTTAGACCATCACCGAAAGCCCTGCTGAAGGTCTCGGCCAATACTCCAACTTCCTCGGTGGGTCAAATTGCAATGCCTGGAACACACGGTTGAAGGCCATCGCTAGTAGGTTGGCCGTGGCAAAACCGTGGCCGGACAAGAACGAAAGCATTGTTTCTTTGCAACATCTACAATTCCTTTTCGCCACCATGTTCGGCTTGAGGTCACTATATACATTTGCTGCCATCGCACTTCTTACCTTTTTGCCAAGGATCTGGGAAACCGGTTTTGCCTGCATCCAAAATGCGTGCCTTAGGAGCTTTTACTTTTTGGGGTTCACTCCTGGCGCTCCTTCTCTCCAACCATCTCAAACCCTCTGCAATAGGCAATATCTGTTCCCAACAAGAGATTGAACGTTCGAGGTCCAGGTTGAAAAAGAGTTTTTAAGCTTTTGCAACACCCAAATGGAGACAACAGCTAGCTACGGTGCTTTCTTTTTGGCCTGGCTGCAGTTTGCAGTGACACGGCCCGGCTCAATTGGCGAAGTGTGCCCAATGCTTCAGAAATAGCCTTGGTGCAAGTTGTTTCAGACGAAACTGTAGCTTCTTGTTACTAGTAGCGATGTCCATTGTTACTAGTAGCTCCTTGCTCCTAGCAGAAATGCCCAACTATGTAGTAGCTTCTTGTTACCAGTAGTGACCACAGTCTCTGAATTCAACCTCTAGCTTTAGAGCTGCAGTTAGGCGTCAATCACCTGTGGCAGCAGCTGCCTGCAGTGAAGCATGCTCACTGAAAAGGTGTCTTTCAGCTTGCTTCTCAGTTTTCTTAAACTTTCCTTCCCACCCCTGCAACTTTACCGGCCTCAAATCGAACAGACGAAGTATATCCTTTGGGTTCTTCGGCAACTGCTTGGGAGAAGCTCCAGTGGCAGCCACCTGTGGCATGAGTGGTGGGAACCCCCACACCAAATTCCAGTTGTCCGTGGTCAGCGAGTCATTGACTTATCAGAAGCAACAACCCAAAAGCCAACCAACAAGCATGGGAACAAGAATCAAACCCTCCGGTGTTGTACATGTCAGAAGGAAGATCAATTCAAATTCTGAAGAACACTCGAACACCAACATGTCCTTTAATCATCCTTGCTCGTCTAAACACGCTCTGCACCCACGCTGCCATCTGCCTCCGCACTTGTAGGGAAGCCTGCTTTCACAGCCTCTGATTGTAGCAGTGTCAGGCCCAAAGCTGACTCTAGCGCTCCCACCTCAGGCTGCTCAACCGAGCCCATAAAGCTCGCTTGCTGTCGCTTTGCTTGTGACCAACGGAAGTGTGGCTCCAAGTGGCAATCCCCTCCAGCTCGGGCACCCAGGTGCTCAAGCGGCTTCGCCGCCACTGCTCCACGGCCCAATGATACTTGAGCACATAGCAGTTTTGAAGACAGCGCCTGGCCTCGAACCAAGACTTGGTGCCAAACAGCGCTGTTTCACCGCTCGAATGCGAAAGAAACGAAAAGACACGTGGACAAAGTAGGACAAACATCAAAAAGAAAGGAAGATGCCATGACCATGCCATGAGGGGGGCCCTGCCTTCAAACATGCTAAAAGGGCTTCCCACGCCGCTTGGCCTCAGCTCGTCCCATGTCCCAGTCCGCCCCCAAAAGGGAAACTGTCTGAAGCTTGACCTCCAACTGCTTAAGGGAACCTAATAGCAATGGCGTCCAACCTAATAGCGAAAGCTTGAGACCTCAAGCATAACTCCTCTTGACTGCCTTCCTATGCCTTCCTTCCTCACTCTCTCTGCCTGCCAAGCTTCGACCTGCAGATTCCCTAGACGCAGCTGAGAAAAAGGAAGAACCATCTCCGCCAGGACGAGGCTCTTCAATGCTGATGCCGAGGTTAAACTCCTTTTTTTTGTTTAGGAACGCGTGCGCAACGTTGCTGCTAGTGATGCTGGGCTTTTCGTATCTTATCATATCTGACCTGGGTAACAGAAAATAAGACGTAAGAAAGGAACATGGAAACATGGGGGTGTCAACAAACAAGTCATGTGGTAGGTGTGGACGTTTCATTTGGAACGTGCACATGCATCAAAGGCATTGGTGGAGGGTGGCCCCCTATCGGTTGTGCAGGTTTTGCACAGCCAATGTCCACTTGTAGACTGAAGTAGTCTTGTAAGCATACGTCAAATGCTCATGAATTGTTAGCTCTCATAGTTTGCGTCTTCAACCCTATTTTGCATATTTTGCCCGTGGTCCTCAGCCAAACACAGTAGAGCTCGGAAAAGGAGCTTCCTCAGGCATCACTCGGTCACTTTCCGTCTTTCTTGCGCTGCAGTTTTTCTTATCTTGAAACCACCTCCGTGTTGTTAAGACACTGGCAGTCGGTCTGGCTGGCGCTCATTGGCTGTCCAACCTGAGCCAAGTGAGCCTTGTGAGATGCACGTCCGCTTTGATGAGGTGTGTGGCATAGCAAACGGAACCTAATAGCGATGGCCCCCACCCTAATAGCGATGGCCTCCACCCTAATAGCGATGGCCTGCACGCCAATCGTGATGGCCTCCAACATACTAGCGATGGCTTCCACCTTAGAAGCGGTGGCCTCCGACCTAATAGTGGATTCCCACATTTGGCGTTCTGAGGATTTTGCCTGGCAAACACTCCCGCTCCAGCTTTGACCTGAAGGCCCACTTCGACGATTCGATCTTGTACATGTGGCAACCTTATGCAACTTATCCAAGCTTGATACAAGGCACAGTTTCCTGTGCTCCTCTGATGCTGGAGCAGGAAGATTGGGACTTCTTTCAGTAGTATTGCTGCCCTTGGCTCAACAGAACCCTGACGTAGGTACAATGAATCACTTGTTTCGCATGATGGACATGAACCGGCTTGACTGGACCCCAACATAGTCCAATGTCAAACTGGGTAAATGGGTGAGTGTGGGGACGAATGAAGACAAGATTCCGAGTTCGGCAAACGGCATGCGTAGTAGTCAAAGCCTGCACTCGCAAAATGGGAGCAATAACCTTAAGAAATCAACCGTCACCCTTTAAGAACCGCATCTGCATCTGCAAATTAATCTGTAGGAACAAGAAGCTCTGGTCTACTACTCGGAGCAAGGACGCTACGAACGAAGCTCCTGGCCTCACTACTAGGAACAAAAGGACGCTATGAGTTCCGGGGCTCAAAGTTCATCTTCGGCCTCCTGGCTGACCTCGATGTGGAGCCCAATCTTGGCCGCAAACGTAACCTGATTCGGGTGGAATCCACAAGTGGGCTCGTCCAGAATAACTGCCAGGCCAAACTCAACGTGCACTTTCCAAACTTGCCACGTCACAGAAATGACGGCCACATACGCTACATATCCTTGAAAGTCGACAAGTGATGGAACAAGCATGAGAAACAGTAACAAGAAGCTACTAGGGCTCCTGGCCTCACTACTAGGAGCGATCGGACGCTACAAACGGGGCTCCTGGCATTGCTACTACGAGCATTCTTGCTCCGAAGTTTCGTGCCAGCGATCCAGCGTTTGCACATTGTCGCCATCGGTGCTGAATTTGGCCCAGTCACATGTGGTTGCAGCCACCGCTTCGTTGGATGATAGCACCACAGGTGCATGTTTTGGAGTTCTTTGAAAGCCATTGGTGCGTCTCCTCAGGGCCAAATACGCAACAAACAGTGCTTTTCTGTCGGCTGGACTGATCAAAGCGGCATCTTGCATTTGCTTTCGGACCACCGCCAAATTCTTGAGGAAGTCTGAGAAAGTTTGACAAGGCGCCTTGGGAAATCCTGTTTATTTTTGTGCATTACATTTTTTGCTCGTTTGTCCTGTTGTTTTGCCATCTGCTTTTGTTTCCCGAGGACGTGGCAGGTTCATGGCCACCCAAGTGCTTGCATGTGAAGCAGAAAGACGTGCCGCAGCTGCAAATCACGGTGGTGGCCTTCGCCTTCTCCGTGTTGTCGCTTCTTTCCTTGGCCACTTATGTGACTTCAATCGAATCAATTGAGAGCTTGGAGTGGAGAGTCGTGTCAATAAGTCATAATAAGTCCAATAACTAGTGTCCTTGCTCCGTTCGTAGCGATGCCCATTGTTCCTAGTAGCGTCCGATCGCTCCTCGTAAGGCCAGGAGCCCCGTTCGTAGCGTGTTTGCTCCGTTCGTCCAATAAGCATGTGGTCTGAAAGCCCAAGGCGCTTGGCGTGGCCAGGAAACGGCACGTCCGCAGCCGGGAGATGGACACCAAGCCTCGAGTTTTTCGACTTCTCCAGGCCGTAGGAAAGCGCTCAAACTTTAGCACGGGTCACGGGTCAGGGCAGGGCTCCAAACAATGAGAGTACTGGAAGAATCCGGCTCACTGAGGGCTCCACCAAGTTCTTGCTCATGTCCACCTTTCCACCAAACACAGAGGTACGACATTACGACAAATGATCCAGTGCGACATGCACAACTCTGGCCGAGTGGCAAATTTCAGAGTTTTGAGCTGCTCAAATCTGCTCTGCTCCTCAATGTCACATCCCCAAGGCAAAGATAGGCAAAGTGTCTCCAAACCAAAACACAATGAATGCACTTGTAGATTGCACCTTCATCCACCAAACGCCGCTCCAATCTCGACCAATCTTTGTTCTTGATCCAAGCTTCTGCACTGCCCATGCCAAAGACATGCGCCAGCATCTCTTCCGAGATTGGCAATTTGCAGTTGGGCTCTGGGCAAGCCACTCCTGCGACATCTCCCTCGTCTAGCCGCACCTGCGATTAGAGCCGGAGGACAAGGACAAGATGGAGAGCGCAAAAAAAGAAAATTGATCAAGTATTGTCCTTTAAGGATCTTTAAGGCGTCCAGTGACTTCAATGTCATTTCAATTTCTTGCCCACCTTGATGTGCATAGACAAGCAGTTGTCGCAAATCACATGCTTGCAAAGAAACAATCTGCAGGTGGACTCCATCGGGTCAACTTCATCAAAGCACACTATACCTGGAAACTGATGTGAAACTGCTGTGCGCTGCCACCATTCTTGCAGTCTTCCAATTTACCGTCCCCAATTAAAGGATAGCAGCGGAATATCTTCTGGCAAAAAACACTGTGGCGCGTTGTGACGTCTGCCATGTCTACCGCTGTATTTGTAGTTTAGTGTCAGTTTGGGGCCTCCTTCGCCCGGCACCACTAGAAGCTGTGCCTAGGTGCAAAGGTTGGCTACTGATCTGTGCACCACAGCTTCCTGACGGAGCCTCAGAATGCAATTCTGCAAACTGAAGTTCTTCCCTTCTGATGGGGATCCCTCCAGACTCTGCATTTCTTCCATGTTTCTTCATCTGAAGGTTTCGAGTTATCTTGAAGCAAAAGGCAATAGACAAAACAAAGAGCAAGAGGATGACAAACAAAAGGATGAAACAACGAGATCAATCTGATGAACCACATATTTGGAGGTCAGCAGCGTATCCTGCAGGTTGATCTCCCTCGTGTCTACGGCATTCGCCAATTGAAGATCCAAACCTCGCAGCCTTGGATTGGAAGGACACGAACGCCCGTGTTCTACGCGTTCGCACGAAGATCTTCACGAAGAGAGGCAACAAAAGAAAGGCGGTCACGCCGTTCGACGGTCGATGACGTCGGTTTTGCAGGCGGCCCTGCAGCATCCAAAGCATCTCTTGGAGATCTGCGGAACGCAGTGGCTGCTGCCTGGGGGGTGTGGAGGACCGAAGGGACGGAAGGGTCGGACAGAGTCGGACAACCGTCTGTAGCTTCTGTAATGCCCTTGTTCTCAGTAGCAATGGCCTCCAACCTAATAGCGATGGCCTCCAGCCAGAATCCACAGGATTTGACGTGCATCAACAGTGGTACGTCATTTTATATGGGCTTCATCTTTCACTATGTGCTCCTTGCAAACCTTTCTTGAAATCACATGTCATATGTAGGCCTCATGCTTGAAAACGAGGAAGGAACCCCATATGACTTCAAGCGGCTTCAATCTTAAGTCACTTAGTCCGCCACCTGCACATCGAATTCATTGCATCGGAGAAGAGCTTCTGCGGCATTCCGTGGCAAAAGCTGGGCCGAGTTGCTTGCCAACACCAAACCTTCCCAAGTCGCAGAGCCATCGGGGAATCCAAATATTTGGATCCCATGCGGGAAAAACGGTGGTTGTTAATGCATCCTCAACAGACCTAAAAAATCCTAAAACCTTGCACCTTAAAGCCGAGCGTTGTTGTTTTAACGGGCACGAGATTTCACGATGCGTTTTTCACGCATCGGTGACCAAGACCTTTCTCTCGTTGACCTTGCTGCAGCACTGACACAAGGTCATCAAGTCCAAGACCTCCCAAGTCTGCAGCCCAGCAGCCACAAAGTGCTTGCAACTCGCTGATCCTGTGTGCTTCCAACGTGCATTTTACCTTACTAGTAGTAACAAGGACGCTACTAGGAACAAGTGCATCGCTACTAGTAACAAGTGCCTTACTAGTAGTAACAAGAAGCTAGTAGAAACAAAATGCATCGCTAATAGTAACAAGTGCCTTACTAGTAGTAACAAGAAGCTAGAAGAAACAAGTGCATCGCTACTAGTAACAAGTGCCTTACTAGTAGTAACAAGAAGCTAGTAGAAACAAGTGCATCGCTACTAGTAACAAGTGCCTTACTAGTAGTAACAAGAAGCTAGTAGAAACAAGTGCATCGCTACTAGTGACAAGTGCCTGACTGGTAGTAACAAGAAGCCAGTAGAAACAAGTGCATCGCTACTAGTAACAAGTGCCTTACTAGTAGTAACAATAAGCTATTAGTTAATTTAGTTTAGTTGGATGGATTTCAAGTACCGTCTGGGCTCTGCCAAGACGCTGCTGATCAAGGAGCGACAACAGCTGCCCGGCATCTTCGTGAACCACCAGCTTTGGATGTCTGTTGTTTCCCTGCTCTGGCCTCAGTTGGTCAAATTCTTTCGATTCCTGATGTCTTCGGGCGTAAACTAGGGAAGACATGCCAAACAGTGTCTAAAGGTCTAAGGCCTAGAGGTGCAGAAGCAGAAGGTCTAGAAATCTAAACGCGTTGGGCTCCAAAGAAAGGTGATGGTGGTGACGGTGGTGAGGGTTGTGATGGTGATGGTGGTGGTGAGGTGATGATGGTGCCAGGGCCTGTGAGGTATATTTCATTGTGAAAGCCTTAAGATGTTGATAATTTTAGTAAAGAAACAGGAACAAATTGCATGGGGACCAGGGAGGTGAGAAGAAAAAAACGACGAGAAGCAGAATGATGGATGAAAGGATTACAGGCCTGGTGGAATGATTTCATGCAAATGGCGTGGGAAAGGGGTGGATCAGAAGATCAGTTTCACCGTGGATCAGTGTCACTATAGGAAGAGGTTTCTTATAGGGAGGCCAACGTGGAAATTAAGGTTTTTCCCTCAATTTGCTTCGAGCTTTTGGGTGGTCCGAATTATGTATTGGTTCTTTTCCTTTCACCAACGACCGAGAACATTGTTTTTCGGCCATTAGGTCAAGGTCAGCAGCTGAGCGAAAGTGGTTGGGATCACGCACCTAACGTGTGAGCCTCTAGTTTGTTCGCTGCTTTGTTCACTAATTTTCGTTGGACGCTGCGTTGTTGGTCCCGTGTCATTGGCCACACGGACCAGGCCACGCGGCAGAACTTGGCTGGGAAGTGGCAGGCATGTTCTGGATGTTTCTTACTTTGTGCAGGAGACCAGCAATAGGCTTACACTGTCACACGTGCGAAAGTTAACGCACCACCAGTTTGTAGTCACAACCTTTCATGCACCTGGCCAGACGCCTGCTTGCAGGCCCTTCTGAAAACGAACCACATGTCCAAAGGATTCCAAAGGTCATGAGGTCATGACTCACTTCACCTGCCGCGAAATCAGAGCATGCCGAAGACCATCACCATGTCCAAAAGTACTGTGCCTGCCACAAAATCTGCACATCGAAGTAAAGCCGCTCCGATCTCCTGTGCCTGCCACGAAAAGTCGTCATCATGTCCGAAAAGGGGCACGGCACTCGAGAAGAGCACCCGTGCCAGCCCACCAACTTCTGCCGGTGAATGAATGTACTGTAAATGGCAGCGACTCAGCCGGACACGCCAATGAGAAGCTCCGATCTCAATCCGGCCTTAACCCTTACCGTAAGAACCCCTAGTCTTACCACACCGTTTGGGGAAAAAGGCAGAAATCCAAGGAACACACAAAAACGAGAAAGAACGCTTTGCTTTTTTTCATCAGTTTTTCACACATGAAACAAAAGCTTTTGTGTTAGCTTAAAAGCCTTGGTAACAATGTTTGCTAGTAGAAACAAGTGCACCGCTACTAGGAACAAGTGCCTTACTAGTTTGATTCTCGCACGGTTCCTTTTCGCAGCAGCGAATCGACTCAAGGCGCCTGTTCAGCCAAATAGCAGCGATGGTGCATCAACTGTACGCAATACACCCTGGCTACAATCGGTGAAATTCACACCCGTCTTATCTACAGGTGTGTTGCGGGCTTCGCAGTTCAAAAACTATACAAAGTCAGCCAAGCAAACTCGATTCCCCGTGGGGCTGTAAACCATGCCTTTCCATGCTGAATTCTCAAAACAAGTCAGGTGAGACTTCTTCATCTTCCTTCTTGGCTCCCTTCTCGCATGTGCCACTGTTCTCGACATTGACAAGTCCACTTTCCAGTGTCTTGAGGAGGTAGTCTGGCTTCATGCTCTTGGTCAACGGGTCTGCCAATTGCTTCGACGTCTCAATCCACCTCAGGTGGTCACCATAGGGACTGTAGATCTCCGATGTCTTCTCGCCATTCACAGTCCACACTCCTTGCCTCAATGCAGCAAGTTCAATGCCCAACCTTTTATCCTGCACTTTCCTGGGAACCTCAGACAATAAGTGGTCTGATAGACTTCTGCAATCGGTGTAGTAGACGTGCGCCATTCGCCTCTGAGTTTCCTCGTGCCAGTTCTTGAAGTCGTCAATGTCGTCCGGCCAACTCACAAATCAGGCACCGTAGGCGATCTCCATGCTCGACAGCAGTTTGCAGAGCATATGCTTCTGCTTGCAACGTAGCACGACACACCCTTTTGAGGGTGGTTGAACCAAAGCTGATCAAATGCATCTTGTGACTGCCTTCCTTGAGGCTGCTCGCATTCGTGATGTAGTGAATGCGACCTTGCTGACTTTTGAAGCCCTCTTCATTTGCGAAACTTGCGTTGCTAAATGTCACAACTGCCAAATCGCTCCAGTCAATCCAATCACTCTTTAAGGTGATCTGCAAGTCACTTCCTTGAAGTGCCAATTCAACAACCTTGTTGGCGTTCTTCAAGTCATGTACTGTCGCCTTCGCGCTGCATGCGCGCTGCAGCTCATTCACACGGTAACAAAGGTCTGGTCTTCCATAGCGCGCAACCCAAGCCAAGCTACCAACAACGCTCCTGAGGCTTGTCAACTCTTTTTCTGTCACCTTTTCCGACAGCTTCCGATGCTTGTCGATTTCGATCGGCTTCACTGTTCTGCAGTTCTCACTTGTAGAAATGCTCACGGAGTAGTCTTCATGCTGTACGAACCGCCGTCCGCAGTATCGGAATCTGCCTGACTCGGTTTTGCCAATCGTGAACCTTTTGAGGATGCCATCAATTGTCTTCTTGCCTTCATCAAGGTAGCAATGCAACAAATCGTCGACATGTGTCGCGATCATCCCAATCAACTTTCCCTTGGGATTGTGCAAGAAGTACAACGCAGGTGTGATGTGACTGCATTTCAACCCGGCACTGGTGATCTCACCATTCATCCTCAAGTAAAAGCCTCTGCCTGCGTCGATCGTGCCATAGATCGGAAGGCGTGCAACCAACATTGCATCCGGTGGAACATCCGGACTTGGAATTCCACCACGTGGCTGTTTGAGCAACAGCAACCGCGTCATCGGTTGACTCTGGAAATACGCTGAAGAAACATCTGCCGCGTGCAGGGTCACGCGATGGCTTGCAGCGAAGCTTGCGATCAACATGTGTCCTTCGGTCTCGGCCGTTGGACTGTCGCAGCGAATGCCCTGTGCACCACGGCTCACCAGCTCGTGGTTTCCACAAGCGACTAAACGAGATCTGTTTTCAGGCTGATGTTCTGGCGCGCCTGTCAAATGGGCCTGCTTATCCACATCCACCCATTGCATGGGGATGGGAACATGCCCCTCCTGAAGCAACTCTTCCAACTCCTTGCCCCGAATGGGCATGGCGGCGTTGAAGCTCTTGTACTTGCTCCACTCTGCCAGCCTGGAGCCAGAATGAGTTTCTGCATCTCAGGGGTGCAGCGCTCATACTGCAACGTCCTTGGCACCTTGCCAGCTTGCGTCTCGCTGTCCTCTCCGAAGCGCTGAGCAACGAGTGCTCGGAACTCTGCAGTGTCATTTCCAGCGTCGTCGAAGGCGGCCATGGCGACTAACGGGTGTCTTACCCGCGAGAAAACGGTGAAACCTGTCCACGCGCGAGAGTCAACGTTATCCATGCCCGGCATGGACTCGCTGGTCGCTCGACTGCCGTCTTCATAGACTTTCCTGGTCACGCGTCTTCCTCCGAATCCTTCCGGAACATCTCCGTCATACAGCGGATGGAAGTCATGGAATCTCCTCTTGTTGTGAACACGAATTGCATGACTCTCAGAGATTCTCCAATGGTCTTCATTGTCAACCATTGCAAGCGTGACCTCATCGTCACCGACAATGCCTCCGGGGGTCATCGGAACTGCACTTGCGCTTGCACTTGCGCTTGCGGATGATCGGGCAGCCTTGCCCGTCTTATCTTCTGCTTGTGCTTCTCTCTTGTGTCCCTTCTTAGGGCTTGCCTCTTCGTCCATCATTCGGATATACTTCTGCTGTCCCAATGTCACTGCTTCTGGGAAAACCGGGATGTTGTTCAAAATGGAGTAGGCCAAAGATTCACTCTCATTGGCTGATCTGAGTTTTCCAGCAGCACACAAAACAGGAACACCTTCATGTAGCAACCAGATGCCATTATGCGGGTCAACGCCAATCGCACGCGAAGCAGTGGACCACACGGTTCCACCTTGCTGGGTGTCACGACGGTAGACCACGAGGTCTCCAACCACAAATGACTTCTTGTTCTGGACTGCTGCATTCCTGGTCAATGCTCTTGCAACACGGGAACTTTTGTGCAGCCATGCGGGATGCACGACACAAATGATATCTTGCTGCAGGATCAAGCTTGTTCTCCAAGATGCCTAAGTTTCCTGCTTCATCCATGTCTGTCACAGATCCTGGAACTCTCGGGTTCCTTCCCAGGACCCATTGTGCTGGAGAATAGCCTTGGACTCTCTGCATGTGGTTCTTCACGGAAGTGCCATTCATGCAAGCATGTCTCAAATGCATCACGGCCTACGGCTTCCATGTCATGGATGGTCTTCCTGAGAATTGCCTTCAAGATACCTTGGTGCCTTTCAACCTTGCCAATGGCTGACGGTGTCTCCAATGGTGCATAGAAGATCTCGACACCGTGCGAAGCGAACAGCTTGGACACCTCACCTCGGTTGTGGACACCTCTATCCATGATTGCAGCCTTTGGAAAACCTGCCCAACTGATCCATCTACGAAGAATGGCTTGTGCACAGGCCTCTGACGTTGGCATACCTCCACCTTCTTTGACAACCTCTGACAAATGGAATCCTGTCGAAATATCCAGCATTGTGAGAATGCTGTACTTGTTTCCTGCGTAGTCCTTCATTTCTGTGACGTCAAGGCCAAGCACGGCATTGAACTCATACTGGAAATTACTGTTTCCTACCGGATGGTCACGGGGACGTGGTGCAGTGTCTTCGCATGACTGACAACGGACAAGACGTGCGGCTTCGATCAACTCCTTGCTTGCCTTACCTGCCTTTAAAATGTTCTTCAAAGTTGACGGTGCAGGATGTCCGAACTGCCGATGCAA